TCCTGCTGCCATCCCACTGAAGCTAGAGGCTTTTCTTCACTCAGATAGCTGCTGGTTGCTGAGATGACAAGCCCAAGCTTTACAAGTAAAAAGGCACAGTCCCGATGTTACCAAACCACACAGCAGGCCGTTAACTCAAGTCCATTAAAAGTCTCAAGATCGGCAGAGCATGGGAGGCTGCTGAACTATGGCTCAGCTACATGCATGGTTCAAGACTGCCATAAGCTAGAGATCGTTCCCCAAGACTTCTCCTTATATACAGGAAGCTGACTACATTCCAAAGCAGCTACTCAGCTGCTCCCAGTAGATTCCACCATGCAGTTGATTACCAGTCTCATAATGGGGAATACTACATCCAGCTGCCCAGGCACTCAACTAGGCCCATCCAAGTTGACACACAAACTGAATAACACAGTAGCATAGTTTGGTTATCCATTCTTCTGTTGATGGGCACTTAGGTTTTTTCCATGTGTTTGATATTATGATTAGGGCTGTGTTGATCATTAGTGTGCATGTATCTTTTTATGTCCTGGCTCTCACTTTAAGATACATACCTTGTAACAGAATTTCTGGATGAAATGGTATTTCTATTTCCAACTTCTTAAGGAATCCCCATACTGCTTTCCACAGTAGTTGTATCATTTTACAGTCCCACCAGCAGTGTATGAGAGTCCCAATCTCTCCACATCCTTGCCAGCATTTGTTATTTTCTGTCTTGTTGAACTTTGCTATTAGTGCACTGGGTGAGTTGGTATCTCATTGTTGTTTTGATTTGCATTTCTCTAATGGCTAATGAAGGATCTCTAGTAGCATTGTGCCTAAGGCACTTGACTGCTTCCCAGAAGGTTGGCAGTTCAAACCCACCAGCCACTACTCAGAAGGAAGGTTGGGCAATCTACTTCCATAGTGATACTGCCTCGGAAACCCAAGGAGGGGTCGCTATGAGTCGGGTCTGACCCCACGGCAAATAACAACAACAATGGCTGATGATCATGAACATTTCTTATGTTTCTTGGCCACCTGAATATCTTCTTTGGTGAATTGTCTGTTCATCTCTTCTGGTGACTTTTTAATTGGATTGTTTGACTTTTTGATGTTGAGGTGTTGGAATTTTTTATAAACGTTAGAGATATGCCCTCTGTCATGTATATCATTGTTGAATATTTTTTTCCCAATCTGTAGTTTCTGTTTTACTCTTTTGGATAAATCTTTTGAAGCATATAAAAATTTAAGTTTTAGAAGGGCCGTAGTTTATGTTCTGCTATTTGTGCATGTTGCATGATGTTTGATAGTCTATTTTCTGCCATAAATTAGGGCACATAAGTTTGCCTCTATTTTGTTCATTGATGAACTTTGTAGTTTTATGTTTCATATGTATTTGATCCATCTTGATTTCGTTTTGGTGTATGGTGTAAAGTATGGACTTGTTTCATTTTTCTGTGAAGGGATCACCAGTTTTGCCAGCACTATTTGTTAGAGACCATTTTTTCTCCATTGCATGGATTTTGATCCTTTCTCAAAGATCAGCTGACCATACATGGATGGATGTATTTCTGGGTTCTCAGTTCTATTCCACAATGACACTGTGTGTGTCATTGTACCAATACCAGCCTATTTTGACTACTGTGACTGTATGGTAGGTTTTGAAATCCGTGAGTGTGAGACCTCCTACTTTGTTCTTCTTTTTCAATAGTGCTTTGCTTATCTGAGGCCTCTTTCCATTCCATATAAAACTAGTGATTGTTTTTTCTTTATCTTTAAGGAATGTTGATAGAATCTGGATTGGAATTGCATTGAGTGTATAGATTGTTTTGGGTAGTATTGAAATTTTCACAATGTTTAATCTTCCTGTCCATAGGCATGGTATATTCTTCCATTTATGTGGATCTCTTATAGTTTCTTCAAGTAGTGTTTTGTTTGTAATTTTCTTTGTATAGGTCTTTTGAGTCCCTGGTAAAATTTTTTCCCTTTTTTTTTTTTTTTGGTAGCTATTATAAATGGTATTCATTTCCTCATTTGCTTTTCAGTAGTCTCTTTGCTGATATAAAGGCATCCAACTGGTTTTTGTTTGTTGATCTTGTATCCTGCTATTGTACTAAATCTCTCAATTAGTTCCAGTAGTTTTCTTCTTTTCTATTGGTTTTTCTGTGTATAGGATCATATCTTTTGCAGATAGGGATAGTTTTACTTCTTTATGAATTTGGATGCCTTTTTTTCCCCTTTCTTGCCCTATTGCCCTGGTTAGGACTTCCAGTACAATGTTGAATAGAAGTGTTGATAGGGGCTGTTCTTATCTGGTTCCTGTATATAAGGGGACTGGTTTCAAGTCTCTCTCCCTTGAGAATAATGTTGGCTGTTGGTTTTGTGTATAGGCCCTTTATGATGAGGAATTACTCTTCTATTCCTATTTTTCTGAGAGTTTTTATCAGGAATGGGTGTTGGATTCTATCAAATGCCTTTTCTCCTTCTGTTGATATGATCATGTGATTCTTTTCCTTTATATTACTTATGAGCTTGATTATGTTGATTGATTTTTTAATGTTGAACCATCCTTGCATATGTGTTATGAATCCCACTTGGTCATCATGTAGTATTTTTTGGTATGTTGTTAGAGTCTGTTGACTAGAAGTTTGTTGAAGATTTTTACATCTACGTTCATGAGGTATATTGGTCTGTAGTTTTCCTTTATAGTGATGTCTTTGCCTGGTTTTGGTATCAAGGTTATGCTTGTTTCATAAAATGAATTTGGGAGGATCCTGTCCTTTTCTATGTTGTGGAATAGTTTGAGTGAACTTTTTTTTCCCCCTCCATTTTTTTCCATTTGTTAATGGAAATGTTTGTTCCATCACTGTATTTTGGAAGCAGAGAGCTTGTATTTTAGGTTTCACAGATTCACAATAGAAAGAAATACTGCCTCAGCTTGGGATATATCCAGAGTCTCACCAATACTCAGATAATTCAAAGATAAGATTTTGGACTTAGAGGTGATGCTAGAATTATTTAAGAGTTTTGGGATAATGAACAAGATATATATGTTGTGCACTTGGGAAGGACATGAATTTTATGGGGTCAAACGGTTGAATATTATAGAGTAAATTTTGTCCTCCTTAAAATATGTGTTGGAATTTTTAACTTTTATACTCATGCATATAGAGTCCTCTTTGGAAACCCTTCATGATATGAAAAAAATAAATTTCTGTTCTTTAAAGCCACCTACATGTGGCACTGGGTATATAAGACAATAGCACAAAATTCTTTAAACTTCATATAAAAAACAAAATGCAACCACTTCTGTGGAGTTAGAGCTGACTCATAGCGACCCCTCTTTGGGTTTCTGAGGCTGTATCACTGTGAAAGTAGATTGCCCAACCTTCTTTCCGAGGAGTGGTTGGTTGGTTTGAACCACCAGCCTTCTGGTTAGCAGTCCAATGCCTTAGGCACTGCACCATCAGAGCTCCCAAACTTCATATGGGGCATGTATAAAAATATTGCTATATAAATGAAGAAAATCAATGAGAAAATGCTGATAAATTGGAAGAATTAATCGAGGAAGTACAATAATAAACTATATAAAAACTGCCCTTACTCTCAAATTTTTAAAAAATATTAAATAACAGGAAAATATTGCTAAAGGATAGAGAAGATAAAGCAGAAACAAAATTATTATAGTACTGAAAAGTACATTACAAATAAAAAGGAGTAGAATATAGAGGATAAGATTGAGGAAGATCACCTGTAAAAGTAATTTAAAAGAAGATAATAAATGTGGAGGACAGATGATGCCTAGGTAATATACAGATTAGGTGATTTTTCAAAAAACAGGAAAAAAAAAAAGTTAAGTAATATGCCAAAGCATAATTTAAGAAAATTTGGTAGAGTAGAGGGTAAACCCTGAATTTGCAGTTCATTTGAACAGTTAATTTAACAATTTTCATTATTGGGGTTGCTCTGGAATTTTGTTACAAGCAGCACTGTGATGAATATCATTATTCATAAGTGATTATCATCATTTCTTATTAAATTCCTAGAATTTGTAGTGCTACAGTTAATAAACTGAATATTTCAAGTTATGTATTGCCAAATTCTTAAAACTGGTTTTTATCAATTTATACTCACTGATAGGTTTGAATGTCATCTCACTAAATCCTTAACAGCATTATTAACATTCTGCAATCTTTTTTCATGGTATTTCCAAAAATGTTATATTATTTTTTAAATTTACTTTTACTTGTTAGTTAGGGTGCTCTGGTGGCATAGTGCCTAAGGCATTTGACTGCTAACCAGAAGGCTGTTTGTTAAAACCCACCAGCCACTCCTCGGAAGGAAAGTTGGGCAATCCACTTCCATAGTGATACCGCCTTGGGAACCCAAAGAGGGGTCGCTATGTGTCCGATCTGACTCAGTGGCAGTGCATTTTGCGTTTGTTACTTAGGATTGTGAGGCTGGCACAAGACTGGGTAATGTTTCATTCTGTTGTGCGTAGGGTCGCTATGAGTCGGAGATGACTCAAGGACATCTAACAACAACAACATGCATTTTTTTATTCTTTGCCATTTTTCTTTTCCAAGTTTATGGAAAACAGTTTTCTCACTTTATTGCTATTTTAATTTTCAGATATTTTTTATACCGATATATTGCATTTTTTGTGTAATCCCATTTACTTTTGTTTCTTCTATTATTTTTTTTTTGTGTTGGAAATTCTTCCTCACTCAGTGATCAGTTGTATGTTTATATTTTCTCTTAGTAATTTATGGTGTCAGTGCTTACATTTAAGTAAGTATTTTATTTGTGGTCCATTTTTGTTTTTTGGTATGGAGTAACAATATAACTTTATTTTTTCCACAAGTAATCAACATTTTCAGTATTATTTATTCATTAGTCTATCCCTTTTCTATTGCTTGGTGACATTTCATTTTGTATATTGTGAACTATTTCTCTTTTGTTTCATTTAAAAATTTTATTGTACTCTAATAGATAAACTATTTTTTTCTTTATTTTAGAATGAAGAAAACTTATCTTCTGTTATTACTGACCTGAATATAATAATGGAACCCACAGAGTATTCAGAATTAAGTGAATTTGTATCTAGGTAAGCTATTTTACAAACTTATTATTTTAGGAACTGTTTTCACTTTATAGTTTTAAGTTTAAGTGTTTTTAAAATTTCTTTTTAGGTAAATAAGTCTTGTCTAAAAACATAACACCATAAATGTGGCTCATATTTATTAAAAGATTATATTCTTTATTTATGACTATCATTCCTTCATTCAGCAAATATTTATTTTTGTATGCTCACTATGGGCTAGGCATTAAAGTTAAAACATACAACAGATATGATCTTTAGACCTTATAGAATTTCTAGCCTAGTGGCGAAATTGGTTATTAATAAAATAATCACAGAAATAACCTAAAATTTCAGCTATGTTAAATGCTATAAAGGATAGTTACAGACAGAATACTGTTGCAGAATATATCAGTAATGTGACTATTAGGGAGATCATGGGAAGATTTTCTGAAGCTTGAGCTGAAGTCTGAAAAACAAGTGTGTGTAATCTAAGAAGGACAGAAGAAACAACTTGTGCATAGGCACTGTGCCTGGACAGGCATGGCATCTGTGAGCAACTGATAGGCAGGGTGACTGGAGGGGAGCAGAAGCAGGAGAATGTGATATAAAATGAGGCTGGAAAAGTATGTCAAATCTGTACTTATGTGGTGTTTGGTAGAAAGAGTTTGATTTTGGTCCTAAAACTAGAATAAAACTGTTGAAGTTTTAAACAGACCTGGGAGAGGAAGGTAGACGTGTCACATTCTAAAAAGGATTACCCTGTATGCTGCAGGAAGAGTGGATTATATGGGTCTAATAGTGGTTGTTGTTGTTGTTAATTTCCATAGCGTTGGCTCTGACTCATGGCAAGCTTATGTATAACACAGTGAAACATTGCTGAGTCCTATGCCGCCTGCATGATCATTGATATGCTTGAGCCCATTGTTGTAGCTACTGTGTCAATCCATCTCATTGAATGTTACCCTCATTTTCACTGACCCTCTAACAGACGCGATGCCCTTTTCTAGTGATTGATCTTTCCTGATGACAAGTCCAAAGTAAGGAAGACAAACTTTCACCATACTCACTTCTAAGGATAATTCTGGTTTTATTTATTCTGAGACTAATATTCTTTACCAAACCACAAGTCAAATGCCTCAACTCTTCTTTTTTCATTACCCAGGTTTCACATGCATTTGCAGCAATAAAAAAGACCCTGACTTCTTAACTAGTAAAGAATGTCTGCCTTAAGCATTGTGCTCTTTTCAGAACTATCTATATGAGATCGTATTGACAACAACAACTTAGGGAACAGTGAAGTTAAGTTAATGGAAAAGGAACAATTTGGAAAAACAGGGTGAGAATAGTTGCACTATCACAGGGGGTTCTGAGATGCCGGATAGGGTCTTTGTCTTCTACGGACAAAGAATTGAACAGGAAAGGCAAAATGTCCACATGAACCAAAGTTTATTAAAGAGAAAGGAGAGAAGAGGGGCTCACAAGGTACAGACAGAGAGGGGCCTCCACCTATGCTAGCCTTAAGCCTCTTTCTGAACAGAGGATTTCCTAGGGCTTACAAAAGTTTTTAGGAGCTCTGGTAGCGTAATGCCTAAGGCACTTGACTGCTAACCAGAAGGCTGGCAGTTCAAACCCACCAGCCACTCCTTGGAAGGAAGATGGGTCAATCTACTTCTGTAGTGATACTGCCTCAGAAACCCAAGGAGGGGTCGCTATGAGTCGGGTCCAACTTGACGGCACATAACAACAACAACAACAACAACCACAAAAGTTTTTAGGTGGGGAAAAAAGCATCATCTTTATTCATGAAATTGGTTGGGGTTTCTGGGAAAGCGGTGGGGTTATGAAAATCATGCACACACAGGAAATAACCAAGATGGATTCCATTGGAAAGGCTGTTGAAACAAAGATGAAATTCATTGCAAAGGCTGCTGGAATGCTTGATATGACTTATTCTGGGATATTGTGCATGTGTAATGTCTCTGGACCCTAGTTCAAGTACCAGTGAGGGACTCCTGTTTTTGACTGCCACTATTGGAAGGTCACTTTGTCAGTCACATTGAATTTTACTGTGGATGCTCTGTACCTGGTGAGGAACTTGAAGGAAAAATCAGGAGGTTTATCAGCATTTTACAACTGGTTAAACATTTAAAACTGGCCTTTTGAGATGTGAGCCCCTATCTTGCCTAAAGGAGCTCTGGTGGCATAGTGGATAAGGCATTTGACTACTAACCGGAATGTTAGCAGTTCAAACTCACTAGCTACTCTGCAGAAGGAAGATGGGGCGATGTACATCTGTAAAGAATTAAAGCCTGAGAAACCCAATGAGCGTCCCTTATGAGTCAGAATCGACTCAATGACACTGAGGGTTTGTGTGTGTGTGTGTGTGTGTGCACTTAAGGGCCTGACTTGTTAGTCTCAAAACCAGTTCTTGCACCAGCAGTGAGTTATGTGGTGGTCTGCAGGTAGGCTTAGATTCCAAGAATACTGAATCAGAGGCTGCTTGATTCAGCCAGTATGATTCCCTGCCTGACTCAGCACAACTTGAAGAGCATAATGAAAGTCACAGAATTTTTACATGTAGAATTTATTGAATTGGTATATGTATATATTCTCAACAACAACAAAAAATATATATATATTTTAAATTGTGATTTGGGTGAAAGTTTACAGAGCAAATTCACTTTCTGTACAGCAGTTCATACACATTTTCTTTCATGACACAATAGCAAAGAGATGGAAACAACCTAAGTGCCCATCAATGGAGAAATGGATAACCAAAGTGTGGTACATACACACAATGGAATACTATGCAATACAAAATAATGTAGAATCTGCAAAACACCACATAATGTGGATGAACTTGGAGGACATTATGCTGAGTGAAGTAAGGCTATCACAGAAGGACAAATATTAGTCCACTGTTTTAAAAAGTCAAGGAAAGGTTTATACATGGAAGGAAATATTCTTTGTTGGTTACTAGAGATGTTACAGTGTAACAGCTTGCTTCCCACTTCCTCTCTATAGTTACTTTTTCCTTTTGTCCTTTCCTATCCATTCCTGCCTTCTGAGCTATTTCCCTGTACAAATATTGCACTTCTGATTTTCCATGATTGATTGTTCTAAGGAGTGTACTTACCTGGTATAAATGTTCACCTTATATGCTGTCTATTGTTTTGCTGGAAGTCAGAGGAGTGAGTTCAATTCCAGGCCTAAAGTGTGACTAGAGGCCAAAGTCTTGGGGATGTCACCGGTCTTTATCAAACCAGTAAGCCTGGCCTTTTTTTTTTATGATTTTGAGTTTAGTTCTGCATTGTTCTCCCACTCTATCCAGGATTCCCTGCATTGATCCCTTACTGAGTGATTGGCAGTAGTAGCAGAGCAACGTCTACTTCTGGTCTCATTGTCACATAGGCTGAAGTTCCTATGGTCCTCTAGTCCCTTGAACTAATGTTTTCCACGTGTCTTTTGTTTTCTTCATTCTTCTTTGCTCCAAATGAGGAAAGACCAATTATTACATCTATATGGCTGGTTGCAAGCTTTTTTTTTTTTAATGTTGTGTAACCATTATTGCTATCCTTTTCCAAACTATCCCACAAACATTAGGATAAACTCAATGTCCCACTGTTCTGGTTACCTAGTACCGCTCTGACAAGAATATACCACAAATGGGACGGCCTTAACAAATATTTTATTCTACAATTTGGAGGCTTTAAGTCCAAGTTCAAAGTGCCAGGCTCTAGGGGCTGGGTGAAATCCCCTCAACCTTGGGCTCCAGCTTTGCCTCCTGCTCCTGGCCCAGTGGAGCTAGAGACATTTTTTTTTTATTATTATTATTGTGATTTGGGTGAAGATTTACAGAGCAAATTCATTTTCCATACAGCAGTTCACTTACACTTTGTCTCATGACATTGACCACAATTTACCACAATGCAACAGCTCCCCTCCCACTTTCTCCCGATAATTACCTCTTCCCTGGGTCCATCCCTCCATGCCTTCCTGCCCCATGAGCTGTCTCCCGGTGCATAAGCAGCCCTTCTTTCTCCCATGATTGTTCTCTCCAATGAGTGTATCTACCTCAGGTAAATGTTCAACCCATATGCCTGTCTTTTGCTTGGCTGGAAGCCACAGGTGTGGGTTCAATTTCCAGACCTGATGGGCAGCTAGGGGCTCAGTGGTTCTACCAGGCTCTATCGGACCAGCAAACCTGGTCCCCACTTTTTTTCCTCCAAATGATTTTGAGTTTTGTTCCACATTGTTCTCCCTCTCTATTCAGGATCTCCTACATCCCTTCCAAGTGGATGACAGTGGTAGCCGGGCACCATGTAGTTATTCTGGTCTCATAGGCATATAGGCTGCAGATTGGATGGTGTACCAGTCACTAGGGCTGATTGTATCCATGAATTTTTGGTTTTCTTCATTCTTCTTTGCTCTGGATGAGGAGAGACCCATCGTTGCATCTAGATGGCAGCTTTCAAGCTTTTAAGATCCCAGTCGCTACTCGCCAAAGTAGGAGGTGGAACAATGTTTTCTGTAGTATATTATGCCAATTGAGCTTGATGTCCCCTGCAACTATGGTCTGAGCCCACAGGTTCAACTATTCAGTCCCTCTTGCTGGCTGTGACCAAGCAGTGACTACCACCTTGCCTCTTGTCAGCTCTACTATATACCTAGGAATTCAGATCATACACATAAACTTATAGGACCGTTGTCTGCCAAACCCTATACATGTTCTTGGGTACACTCCCCGCTTCATAGACATATCTAATAGTTCAGCCTGTCCACCCATCTATCCACCCGTATACTCATGTTTACTTTCACTAACAACGCAGTACTGTATGTGCAAAAGCGTTCTTCTTTGTTATCTATACCTCTCATGTACCTCTCTATGTCTTTTAGAGGCATTTCTTCACTCAGACAGCTGCTGGCTGCTGAGACTGAGAAGCCCCAAGGTTGACAAGTAAAAAGGCACAGTCCCGATGTTACCAAACCACACGGCAGGCCATTAACTTAAGTCCATTGTAAGT